AAATAATAAATAAAAAAATAAATATATAAAAAAAAACTTTTTTAGGAAATCAAAACTTTTTAGGAAAATTATAAACTAAATTTTTCTACAAATACAATTTCTCTAAAAATATAAAGTATTATAGCACAAAATTATATAATATATTGCTATTAAGTTCACAAGAGTACCTTTGAGAGTCGAGGAACTGTTGTTGGAAAATCAGAATGCCCAAGTTGACCAAAGGTGTTGCTACCCCATGAGTAAACCTATCAGAAAAAATGAAACAACAACAAAAACAGGAGAGTAGGTAAGAGGTGTGGATCTGATCTGCATATACACTCAAGGTTTGATCTTGCATATAAACTCAGAATCTTTATAAGTACATATACCAATAATTAGAGAAATTAATTTTCCATTCTTCAAAATAACATATTAGCCAGGTATGATGGCTCACACCTGAAATACCACCACTCAAGAGGCTGAGGCAGGAGTTTCTAGTCTCAGCTAAACAGTGAGTTGAAGGCCAGCATGGACTACAATATGAGATCCTGTTGCTTGCTGTTTCAAAAGAGCAAAAGAAAACACCAACCAGAAAATAAACCAAGCATGTGGCACAAGCTTGTAATACCAGCCCTCAGGAGGCTGAAGCAGGAGGATCTCAAGTTTGAGGCCAGCCTACCTGTACAAGATCCCCGCAAGTCTAGGCCTGGGATCACCCTACCATGGCAGAGGGAAGAACTTATGGGGCCCTGCCCCTTCCTGAGACATTTTCTTCTGTTGGTGTAGCCACTGGTAGGGCACACATGTTCCTGTAAACAAACTCCGACCCATGATCCTGTAAACAACCTTAATGAAACTCACAAAAAACAACAACAGGGGCTGGAGAGATGGCTCAGCGTTAAGAGCACTGACTGCTCTTGCAGAGGACCCGGGTTTGATTCCAGCACCCACATGGCAGCTAGGAACTGTCCTTAACTCCAGTTCCAGGGAAATCTGAAGCCCTCCTCTGACCTCCTCAGCATTGCATGACCCGGGTGCACTCACATCTATGCAGACAATACACTCGTACACATAAAATAAAAATAATAAATAAAATATTTTTTAAAAACCCTACAACATGGTCAAGCAGGACCTTTGACTTATCTTCACATAGATGGAACTGGTAAAAGAAAGGAGCCAGGAGCTCCTCCCAAGCCCATGGGACCCCTGAGGAACAGATCCTCAAACGACCTCAAGAGTTAAAACAAATCAGTTTATCTGGTCCAATGGTATGTCCTTAAACACCCAAAAGGGAAGTATAACCAAAGATTAAAGGGGCCAATATAATTTCATAAGAGCATACATATATATA